AGACCCGCCCTACGGGCAGGATTTGATAGATCAGTTTTAATAAAAACTATAATTTTATGTAAATTTCCTTTTATGTTAGATTGATAATGTGAATATGATTTTATAGTCCACAACAAATTTCAACTATATGACAAATCGTATTTTGCTCTTGTAATCGTAAATTTATAAGTTTTATAAATATGTAAATCAATCAGATTTGGTCAATCGAAGATGAGATCGATATTTCCAATACCATTTATATCTTTTTCTGTGAGGATTCTTTGTCAAAACTATTGTAATTTTTTTATAGAATGTTAATAATTGATATCATCAACAATTGAGGTTGATTTCGATAACATTTTTGATAAATTATGATGTGTTTTATTTATTTAAAATAAGAAATTATATATAAATTAAATATTTATTTAAAATCAATTTATATATACTAAAAGTACTAAAATACATGAATATAGATAATAATATTGATTAACAAAATCATATATAAATTCTTTAAAATTTTAAAGTTGTATGTATATTTGCAAATAAAAACTATAAATTTTATCATCTGATAAATTATGATCAAATTACGTGTCGTATTCTGGTGAGTCTATCTACTGACGTGGCAGTCATAGTATTGAGAAAAATATTTACAAAATAATCAAGTTATTTTAGAAAATAATACAAAATATTTTAAATTTCTATACATCTTTAGAAATGTTTAGTTTACCTTCAATCAAAGTGACTATTTGTTTCTAGTGGTGCAAGACATTATTTTATTTTTATTTGAGTTTAATCAAAGTGACTATTTTGGTTAGTGTGATGCACTATGTAAAAAGTTATATAGCGAAACTGATTTACGCTGTAGTATATAATATTGGCCAACTTAATATGCATATTTAGAGTTGTTTAGTTGAGATAGGATATTCATAAATAAACCATCTGTTGTTGGTTATTATACAAAAGAACTGACAACAGCGCCATGTGGTTATCATTTGTCACTCATGCCCAGAAATAAAACTAATAGCTGTAAATATAAAAGAATACATAGAATTTATGAGGATGAGAACGAAGGACACACCAGAATCAATCGTATATCAAGAGATAATACATACATCATTCATCATTTGAGCTTGTCTGCCAAGATCTTCACTGAAAGGATAGCCATTGGCCCCAAAAGCTTAACATATCTTAAGAATTTTATTTCTCGCTCGTTCCCCAAATAGGATAACAAATACATGTTTTCTGTCAGGAGTATTAGTTTAGATCAGAAGGAAAGCTCCACTAAAGGAAAACAGTATAAACATATTTTTTATTCACCAGCCAGCATTCCATGTAAAACTATTCCTGGCTAGGTAGATCAACAAAACAAAATAAAACAACTGAGGCATAACCAATGCCAAATATAACATATGCAGATGGGAACGTATAAAATACATATAAAATTTAGACTCTAACTTGCATGAGCCTATGGAAGAACAAAGTATATACATTAAGAAAGCAGCCAAACTCCTGCAATATAAAAAGGCTGCACTTTTAATGTCTAAGAAGCTAAGAGTAGAAAATAAGAAGTTAGCCTTCTCCCCAGAGTTGAGATCAACCACGAACTCAGACTGTCGTATTAAGATGTTGCGACAGTGAGGAATCCAAGCTTTACTTGCTTTGTTGGATAAATAAACTTCTCCTGTTACAAAGGACAGCTTGTAAGGGTATTAGCGGACAACAATTGGAAAAGTAAAAGAGTTGCAGATTTCGTACTTCCTTCAGCAAAGGAGCCTTGAGGGGCGTCTATAGACTGAAGGAGAAAGATCACAGCAGGCACATGAATGCCTGAGATACATATACATATCCAACGCTTTAAGATAACAGTTTAAATATGCAATATTCACAATGGAAAGTATTGTGCAGTCATTAAATTTTTTCTGGCAAAAGATCATCGATAATATTATATGTTACGTAGCCTTAAAGCTGTCAAATTTGTTATGAACCAAATGAAGACTCTCTGTCATATTACCTAGAGCACTGCAGCTTGTCATTAATAGCATTGACTTCAGAATGTTCAGCTTCTTGCTCTCCAAGCTTGACCTGAAAAGGCAAAAGAATGAAATCAAGTATAGGGATGAAGAAATAGGAAGCAATGGCTACCCCAGTTTTTTATTTTTTTTAAGCAAGCATTTGGGTTCACCTCAACATCATCCAAATCCATATTAACTTCTTAGTCTATGAACTCTTTGGGAGAAACTCAAACCATTAACATTTGGTCTTTGAAGAAACATATCTTTCGTGCCATCTCTCCACATCTTATTATATTAATGCATATCAACAATGAGTGAGGATAAATATCCACTAAAAGTAAGATATGCTTTCTTTCAACATACATAACATCTGAAAGAGATATGAACTTACCTGAGCAGCATACGTCCTTTGATATCTCTTCTCACAATTAAGTTGAGATAAAAATCAAAATAGGAATTCACGATGGAAGGATGGTTGCTAGACTTAGGATCTCTTCTTGTGTAACCGAGAGTTGTTTGAAGGAAGGATGGTTGCTAGACTTAGGATTTCTATTTAGGTATTAGAGATTATAATCATATAGGTGCTTAACAGTTGCATGCATGATATTAAAGAGCTCTACTACTTGATAACAAATTCATCAGCTTTAGCGTTTCTGTATGAGTATATTAACTAGATCTATTGACCCAAACAATGATGTGTTGTTCGATCAATAGCAGTGTCAATCGATTATTCAGAGGAATATCAGTCGATACACCTTTCACTCTGTCGATCTATTAGCCTTTTGGGATATCGATCGATTAGCCTTTCGGGATATCGATCGACGCGCTTCTAGTTAAGATTTATGTGCGGGTTGAATAATGCTCACTAAGGTTCCTAGATCAGACTCTCGCCATACTCTAAGAAATCTTAGCTTAACAGAATAGATTCAGGACAATATCTCTAGCAAATCCTTAGATCGGGTTTATAGGTAGCAATTCTAAAACATAAGCATTAAGAAAATTCTATTAATGAATATCACAACTAGCTGTCCTATAGTTGGGGCTAATTCCTTTAACATGTTTGAACCCTAAATCTAACCGGTGAATCTATTCAAACATGAAGTTTGTCACAAAAATCATAGATATAGAATAGATAAAATCAATAAAGAAACCAAAAGAGTTCCAGGAGGACTCTGAAGAAGTTCATCCCTTCTCTCCTAACCTAAGAGAAAACAGTAGAATAAAGCTTAGATAGCGTATAACCGTCAACAATGGCTTATAAATAACATAAATAGAGTTTCTGGTCATCCAAGGGCATTCTGGTAATTTATGGCTTCTTCTGGGTTCTAGTTGGTCATAAAATATGCATGTCCCGCATTCTGGGATCTCCATCGATCGATACAAAGGGTGCTGCATCGATCGGTTTTCCTTTACTTTCTCGACAACTTCCTCTCGCGAGACAGATTGACCACTCTTCAGTAAAACGGACATAACTTCTGATACGGGATGCTGATTGACCTCAGACCGGTGGCATTGAAAAGCTAACTAAAATCTCTATCATTTTTCAAATATGGGCTCAATCTAACAGTGGTAATGTTTCCATCCATAGCTAAACATCTGACATGTCTGTGTAGTCCTTCACTCAAAATGCTCCAAAACACACCAAAATCACTATACTTTTCCAGAACGTATCTAAACCTATAAATACCCTAAAAAGACTCAAAAGCATAATAATTATATCTTAAAACACTTATATACCATGGCTGAAAATGGATCAAATTTATGGTATGTTTAATAAAATTTATTTTAATCATTTTTTCCTTATGAAAGTGACAAGTTTTTTAAATACTATTAAATGGCATTTCACGTTGAACAGAACTAATTTTCAACTGAATAGCATTTTTTTGTCAAACTGAATACCATATATATTGAATTTTAGTCAGTGCTAGTGCTTTTTAAATCTTTCCAAGTAATTTCTCATAAAACAGATATGATTTTCACTTGAATACCATATAAATATATTTGAATTTTAGTCACTTTTAGTGTTTTTAATTTTTTTCTTGGATGTCTAATATCTTTTTACATCTTGTACAAAATGTTAAAATTAACAACTATTTTAGTGATCAAATAGACTTCTCATATAGCTGGAAAATAGTATTCATCATATAGTTTTAGAGCCTATACATATTTTAGAGAGGTTTAGGAGATTATCTTTAATGTAGGCCTAAATTTTGGAATTACCCATAATGACTTAAGGCAGTTATCTCATACCATTTGTGTATCAAAATGACGAAAATGTCTCTCATTGTCTTTCTCACCCACGCTGCTTCCCCTTTTTTTTCTGAGATTCTCTTTGCTCCGACCTCACATCTTTCTCACATTCCACCTCGTTTTTCTTACACCATCTTTTCTCTTATATTTTTTTTCCACCTATAAATTCTATGTGTAGTTCATTTTTCAGCATAAAACTATGACAATGTGCTTATGAAATATGGTAGAGAGTTAACAATTTTGTAACATGATACAAAATTTGTTAACATTAATATTAATTTTTATCTTGTTACAATTTTCATTATCGGATTATATTTTGTTATAACACGTTAGACAAATCAATAACTCAGTAATACACATTATAATTTAGCACTAATTTCCAACCTAACACAATATTTAACAGTTAACATATGAAGTTAGCTAACTAATTTTAAATTTAACGATCCAAATAAAAAGATTTAGCATGTTATAAACACCTTAACATGTTAACAAATAACAGTACCATATACAATTACTTTTGCAGTGTCCAAAAATCAGAAGAGCGAAGCTGTTTTATCACTGCTAAAAAAATACATATAGAAGTTTCTATGAGGTTTTAATTAGCTCTATCATTGTATCAGGCGTCGAAGCATTTTTAACAGGTTCCTGGGTTGGAACAAAATCAGTCACTTTAAAATACTACCATTGGATCAGTTTCATAGAAACACATACAATAAAAAACGAAAGAAAAAAAAGCTTAGATAATAAAAACACTATAAAATGAAGAAAGAGAGTATAAGGGAAAAAGAACTGTTTTGTATTCCTCTTAGAAATCTTCGAGCCATTGCATTGACCAATGTGCAAAGAGATGTTTTCAGCCACGAAATAGAGGGTCTACGGAGAGTAGGGTGGTAGGTCAGAGGGGTAAAATTGACAAGGAATAAAGGGAGCATCTTCAAAAGGTTGAAGACCAATAAGTGGTGGTTTTGGGTGTATTGACGCCAATTTCTCCATATTTTAAGAAGACGGCCCAGACTAGAACTCTAATCTATTATATAAAATAGAGTATCTCTCCCTCTAAGAGTGTCCACGTCAGATGCCATGTCACAAAGTCCACGTGTAGAATTTTTTTTTTTGAGCTGTTTATTTTTGTGTCAATAACTCATTCTTCTCAAGCCAAAACGCGGAGTCCCCGTGACCTAATTCATTTTGTGCTTTCGAGAGAGTCGACTCCCCTCTTCGTGCGACGACGAACCTTGCTCTTCTCCTGAGAATCTCTAATCACTTGCGTTATTTCTTCATCTCTTTGATCTTCGACACGTTCCGGAATCAATCGTAGCGGTTATCGACAACAGAGACTCAGCAATAGAGGAGGCGAATTTCTTGACCAAGTATAGATCTAAGGTTTATATAACCCACAGGCGTTCAGGGCGTCGGAGATCATGCAGCAGAGGGCGTTGTCGAACCCTAAGATTGAAGTGATTTGGAACTCTTCGGTGGTGGAGGCGTATGAAGATGAGAACGGGAAAGGCGTGCTTGGTGGTTTGAAGGTGAAGAACGTTGTTACTGGTGATGTTTGATTTGAAAGTGTTTGGGTTGTTCTTTGCGATTGGTCATGAGACGGCAACGAAGTTCTTGAATTGGCTGCTTGAGATGAGGATGGGTATGTGGTGACCAAGCTGCAAAATATTCAGATATGTTAGATATTCAGGATGGGTATGTGTAAGTTATAATTTTTCAGATACCTTTCATGAGGTGAAAAGCAAAAGAGACAAGAAGAAAGACTCTTTTTTTTTCCTTATAAATCCATTATTTGTAGTGTTGTTTTTTTCAGTTTTTTCTAATTCAGTTGTGTTTTGCTTTTCTTTTTAAGATTTAACAGAATGTTATGGATTCACTTATAATCACGTGTCCTTTGTAACTTTCATTATCTAATTGATTTCTGTCTGCAGAATTTAGTGCCAATTAACCAAGCAAGTGCCAGAACTGGTCGGAGGAACTTCGCTTCTACTAACACTTATCATGGTTGTTTGATTTCTTTTATTTGGTCGCTTCGAATGAGAATTGTACTTCACTTTCCTGTTTTTAAGCTTTTTGTTGACATTCTGATGCATGCAATGGAAGAAATGCATCCTTTAAAGGGAGAGTGGAGCTAATCATGTAACAGAGGGGTTCTAGAAATTTTCCTCCTCATACTAACAACCGAGCAAAAAACCCCACAGCACCTTATCCGATAAAGTATTTTTACATTTCATCCTTCTGTCTCTCTATGTTAAATCCGTATATTATTAGAGATTAAAGGGTACCTTTTGAAGGGTTTCTGGTCCTACAAGTGGGGCAAGCAATCATCAAGTGGAAAATGATTTTTCTGTTACTGTGAACAAGGGAGTTACAGAGAAAAATCCTCTTTCCAAGTCTACTTCGTTCTCCGAGAATTGTGTTAAGCCTGAGACGTCTAAAGCAAGTTCAGAACAAGTTGATGCACCTGTATCAGTGTCTACAGAACCATTTTCAAGATGTAATTCCTGCTCAGGTCTCACAGCATGTTGTGACTAAACCGCCAGCAGAGTTGCAGTCATCTACATTCGTCCACAGGATCCTTCTTTGATTTCTGCTTCTCACTGCAATAACCATTCTGATCAAGGTATGTTGGCCTTTTAATTGTGAACCTTTTCTTTTCCTTCGTATATTCATCAAAATAGCAAATTAATTGGAATGGAACTTTTGTGGAGAAACTAAACATTAAAGTATTTTCTTCAGAGTATCAAATGAAAACACATATTGAAGTATTTTCTCAAAAGAATTCTGTGGTGATCCAAAAGTTATTGTTGCTACAAGCATAAACCAAAAGATGATTAGAGGTATTGAGTTTATTTCGTTTCTAATAACCATTATATGTAGATCATTCAACGTCCGGGACACATGTGTATTTTGATAAGGAGACGAATGCAGGAGGAGTTCTCTTCTACCAGTAAGCTTAGAAGTCAATCCGTGGTGATCTCAGGGAGCCGTAGACGCATATTAAAGTATTTTCCTTAAAGAAACTAAATCTTTGGGATATTTCAGTTTCATGCGGACAAAAAATTTTTTTTTTTAAAAAAGTGAATCTCGCAAAATCTTTTTTATTTGTATGTAAATTATGAAAAATATAACTAATAATTAACATATAATAATTAGTGTAAATATCTTTCAGAAATTTGTTTGGAAATAAATATAACAAAATCTAACAAATAAAACCATAAATATTTGATAATAATACATGAAATAATCAAAATACTTAAAGACATATTATAAAAAACATAATATCAATAATAAATATGAAAATTACAAGAGCAAAAGTATATATTTTTTTAAAGATATTACTTTACACATTTTATCAAACATAAGCTAACGAAAAAAGTGAATCTCAAAACACTTTTTCCTTTTTGTTCACTGAACTCAGTATAACGAAAATAATAAATAATTAATACAATTGTTATAAAATATTAGGGAAATAAAAAAAACTTCGTAAAAAAACAATAAATTCAAATAATAGGTAGACTCCCCAAACATACCATATTATACTACTTACACCATAAAATGAAAAATTAATTGAAATGTTTAAATATTTGGGTGTATCAAATTAAATCCTTTAGTGGCACAATTCCAACTTAACTGGATGACTAATGTTCTGATTACCAGTTTCTCTTCAAAATTGAGATTTTTTTTGAAAAATTATGCAAAAGTCATGATTTCAAAAAGAGTCATATATATTAGTTGTTAGATATAAATTATTCTAAGAGAGAATGGCATAACAATTCAATTATGATGATGCTAGAAAATCAAAAGTTCATAACAATAAATACTTACAATAACCTGACCAATAACTTAAATTAATAAAATAATATATCTCATATATATCTTTTGTAAATGTAAACTTAAAACACAAACGATGAAATCATATAAAAAATAATAATCTAGATTATAAATAAATTATATCCCACCCGTAGGGCGGGCCGATCCTAGTGAAGAGATATCCTTGGAGATGGATTTATTACAATTTTGTTCGAAATTTTTTGAATGGGGTAAATTTAATTTATAAAAAAATATTTGTTACATATAATAGTTATTTAAACTTAATTATAATAATTCACTTAAAAATATAACTTTTGAAAGTATTAAATAATTTAAATATACATATATCCAAATCTTAACTTACAAAATAGTTGATTAAAAAGTAAAGTAGTGTCTAAAATGATTTTTCAGGTAAAATTTGTGATTTAAATGGTTAAAAATAAAAATGTTATGAAGATTGAAAGAAAAAAATGTGTAAAATAACTTGTAGTTAAATTATATCGGAAATAGAATGGTTGGATAGCGGTAAATAAACATGAGTTGTTAACATAAATGAAAAAAAAAATATTACATACTGGTTAGTTAGATATTGGGCTTTGAACAAGCTAAATACCGTAAGAATAAATAAACATGGGTCAAGTCGCTTCTAAGGAAATATTAGAGGGGTCAGAATATTAATTTTACAATACCTTACCAGATTTTTTTCCAAAATACAATCTAAACTATTAAAGGGGAAGTATAAAAAAGAAATAAACCTTAATTTTCCTAAAAAAATTACAATAGAATGCCACTGCAATAAAACACTGTAGTTTTACTCTTATGTGGGTTTCAATATAGATTTAAGGTCCACTAATTTTAAATCAAAACCAAATTGCCCTATTCAGTTTTAAAAATGACACTAGATTTTTATCTGCGCAACCGCGCGGGTGTTTGTTTTAATTTATAATTAGTTATATAAACATTTTATTTTCACTTGTAAATTGGTATATATTATAGTAATCACATATTTACGATATGTATAGTAAATTTTTTCAAACATAATAATATTATATAATACGTGTTTTAATCAAATAGATTGTTTCAAATTTTCTATATTATACATGTTTGAATTTCTTCTATATTTTATTGTTTGTTAGATTAGTATTTCATTTTTAGATAAAGTAATATAAATAGAGCTTGATTAAATATTAGTATATTTTAATTTGCAAAGATAATATAAACTTCGAAGAATTTTTTGCTAAAAACTAAACTTATAGCTTCATAAATTAATATTATAAAGAATTTTATTAAAAATAAATTTTTTCAACAATTTCTGTTTTTTTAAAACAATATTATTTTAAAAATTTACATCGAATTTAATTTATCTATTATATATAGCGTGTAAATTTTGTTAGGGTATATAAATATTCCATATTACGAATCTGTGATTTTTGTTAATATATTGTGGAATGCATTTAACTATTATTGACATATTTCCTTATAAATATTAGAAGATTCCTAAACTTATATCTACTGACATATTTTGCGTGACTAAGTTGGAAGGTGTGGGGGTAATTTACCAAAACCAAATTGTTAAGGGTATCTTTGTTATTATAGATATGATTTTTCATAAGATATAATAATGATAAGATTATTAGAGAGTTAATGTAACATAACTTTCTAGTAATAGTCCATTTTTTTAAAAAATCACACATGAAGTCAAGTCATGACTTCTGTTTTAATATATAAGATATGTTAATAAAATTGCTAGAGTTCTAACTTTCTGAATATATTTAATTATTGCTATCTAAATAATTTATTTAAAAAATATATATATATATAACCTGATTTTAAATTATAAAAACACACAATCTAGACAAGATACTCTTATATTTTACACTTAATGGTTTAGTTTACCAAGTAAGAAAAAGTACGATATCAAAACCATAACCGAACCTAAAATTTATCTCGATTAAATAAAACATAATCATTGTAAATACAATTGCTAGAGCTCTTATTTTTTGTGAATTTTTTTTAATTCTTGGTATCTAAATAATTTATTTTTAAAAAAATATCTATAAAATCTGATTTTTTACTAATAATTTCAATCACAAATTTATAGTATAATTTAATAAAACACACACAATGTACACAAGATACTCTAAAATTTTACACTTAATTGTTTAGTTTACCAAGTAAAAAAAATATGATATAAAAAAAAATAGAGCTAGATAGTTAAAAAAGAGATACTAAACAAAATGAACAACATACACCGACATCATAACTCAATAAGCTATGAAACATAAATATTAATTTTTTTATAACTAATACAATAATATATTTATACAGAACATACATCCGCGCGGGCGCGCACATCAAAAGCTAGTTACATTTATTTTCAACAAAAATCTATACAATTACAAGTGAACCTCCTCTCACATAGCTGCCTCTGCCCCTGCATGATCTCTTGCAAGAATTACATTCAGACATTGTTGGTGATGGGTTTATCACCCTTGTAAAAACTCTTTCTAAATTCAAATCGACTTATTTAATAAATGGAAGTCAGTAAAAAATATGAAATCCACAAGGAAAAAGAACTAGGCGATAAAAGATAAAATACCAAAAAGGGAAAACCTAGAAGAGAAATGAAAAGACACAGACTCCAACCTTATATAAATAAGGAAGCTCATTAAGTCTAAAAATCATCTACAAGCATCTCAACACATTCCTGCGGAAAGAATGGAACTCTCTAAAACATCTTTGGACG